GACATTATGTTAAAGGAATAAGCCGGGCACAGAAATACAAATGCCACATGTTCTCACTCAGTTGTGGCTGTTTACAAAGTTGATCGTGTCAAACAGAACAGAGGTTTTTACACGTTTGGAAGAGCGGCGGGAAGGCAGCTATTGAGAGGGTGTATAATTAGGACCATAGACCATGGTATTAAGTATGCACTTCAAAACAGAGTAGAGCATAAAGGTTAGAAACATGTAGAGATGCTAATATTCGCTGTGATGGAAATGCTAATTATCCTGATTTGTTCACTTCCAATCATAAACACATCCTGACTCACCCTACCCACAAATAAGCACATACATGTCTGTATTTCGATGAAACTCATGTTTCTCTTTAAAATAAGTAGATTTTTATTTTAGTTGTGTGGGGAGGTCCCAAATACCACATGAGACATTTCTGTAATGCCCACAAATTAGTTATTTTTATTGTTTATCTGCAGTTGAAATTTTGTTCAGCGTCCTTTAACTGGCATTCTAACCTAGTGAAACCGGCAAGTCTAACTTAGCAAAAGAGTGAGTGCACACTTAAGTAGATGTTCACACCATGCTGAAGCTGGCGTGGAGCTTGTGGTCCTGGACCCAGAGTTTTCGTGAGCTCTGCAATTGGGAACTTGCACACACAGCTAGGTTACTTGGGCAGGACTGTAGATATTTATGCTGTGGGCATTAGGCATGCTCTCTTACAAGAAGCTGAGTTCTGGTAGCAAAAAGAGTTGACCAAAGAAACAACCATGCAGCATTTTTGTGGCCTTGGTATCATGGTCTTGTCAGCAAAGTCATGGGGTTCTGATTAAACCCAGATTGAGCTGTTTCCTTCTAGCGTGCTAACCCACAGGGCAGGCTCAAACCTCCTTGTCTGGCTTTCCAAGTCTGACTTACTAAACCCTTGTCTGCCAAAGTTCCACCCTTTACTTTTAGATGTCAATTAGAAATTAATAAGATAATACAAACAAAAATAGGTTCTGAAGTCTCTTTAAAGGATTATGGACCTATTGACTTCTCTGCTGCAGAAACAAAACTTGAACATTTCAGTTTATCCAGTCTGGTATATGGCAGATGGCATTTTAAAAAGTGGGTTTTTTATACTTATTTATTTAGGGGTGTGTGTGCATGTGTGTGTGCATGCATGCATGCGTGTGTGTATGCATGCATGCGTGTGTGTGTGTGTGTACCACGATGCACCTGTGGAGGTCAGAGGACAACTTCTGGGAGTCACTTTCTTCCTTTCACCATGTGGGTCCGTGTGTTGAATTTAGGTGGTCAGTATTGATGACAGGCATCTGAATGATGGAGCCATCTTGCCGGCCCAGAGAATATGTTTTTGCATTTCATTTCTGTACAACTTCATTTCAAAATGATTCCAGGAGTCAGCAGATAATTCTAAGCTTTTGTTTGTTTGTTTTGTGAAAATGTACTCTGTTTGAATATTAGTCAGTTATAACCCACCTAAAACAAAGCAAAGTGAAATCCTGGTCTGTCCAGTGACAGCAAACGGTCTCTAGGGTATTCAGTAAGAATATAGAAACTATAGGAAACACTAAGCAAATGCCATGACTGCTCAACACTCATTGTTTAATTTTGTAAGAATGATTCCAGCCAACAGCACAAGTCTGTACTTCATTTTATGATATCGCTGCTTGCCCATTGCGTTCACAGATAATCTTCTAAATCTGAGCATCGCACATAGCATACGAGATGATCCCTTAAGTCACCATGCTTCTTCCTGATGGCAGGAAGAAACACCAAGGAGCAAGAAACACCAAGAAGACACAAAGGAGAATCACACATGCAGATGGAAAGGAAGGGAGCACAGAAAAAAAGAGCTAGTTAGAGCAGCCATTCCAGTCCTCAGGGACCAGCTTGGCAGCCTGCCAGATCTGTTCCTGGAGGACCCATGTGGTCACCTTCTCCACAAGCACTTTTCTCTGTGTTTGAGTTCTTGGTCACATCAATATCAGGGAAAATTAGTTCTTTTAAGCCATTGCCACTTTCAATCAGAAAAGTCTTGTTTTAGAGTGGCGTTTGCACTTCAAAGTAAGGTAAGACTCATCAAACTAGAAAACTGCGTGGTGAGGGAGCCCTGACATTATCACAGAGTAAGGAAGCTTAATTTAAAATTAGAACCTGACTATTCCTCCCAGCGGAGAAGCCATGCCTTGTGCCAGGACACTTGGCATTGAATTCTTTTTAACAACTTCTGCATCATTGTGTAGGCAGATAATTGTTTTGACAGAGTCTTTTGAAGTACAAAGCAAAAACTACAAAACATCCTTACATTTTAGTATTACATCAGGAAAGAGATCAAAGAGGCGGGGCGGGGCGGCCCACACTTTTAATCCCTCTCTTGGGAGGCAGAAGCAGGTGGATCTCTGAGTTCCAGGACAGCCTGGTCTACAAAGTGAGTTCCAGGACAGCCAGAGTTATTACACAGAGAAACCTTGTCTTGAAAAACCATAGAGAGAGAGGGAGAGATAGATAGATGGATGGATGGATGGATGGATGGATGGACGGACAAATATAGATGTTTTCGGAAAATTTTTTAATTATTTAAAATTTTATTTTTACTATTTATTTATCTATGTATTGAAAAAGGTTCTCACTTATCCCAAACTGACCTGGAATTTACTGTGTAGCTCGGGTTGACCTTGAACTCACAGCACTCCTTTGGCCTCAGCCTCTGGATGGCTGGGTGGATAGGTGTGAGCCACAGGCCTGGCTAATTAGCATTATATTTTATAATGTCTTCACTTATATTTTTCTCTCTTAAAGCAGAAAGTGGTAAACATGAATTCAGTACATTGCAGTTCATTCTGAAGTTCTGTAAGATGCTTTTGGAATGAAGGGTTATGGGCCTGGCAGTGCTGTGTATCATGCCTACTTGATAGAGTTTAACGTCGTGTGTGGACACATTGAAGCCCAAGGAAGTCAGCAATAAAGAAACGTCTTTGATTTTGTTGAACTCTGTAGTCTGTGAACTTGACACAGGACCTTCTTTTAAAACAAAACAAAACAAAGCAAAGCAAAACAACCTAATGTTTTATATTACATAGTCAAATCGATTCTGGTTCCTAGTAATTAAAAATGTAATTAAGAGCTAGAGAGCATCCATCTTTCACTCACTGTTTCTGCTTTTAAAAAAGTTAATTGGAGCTTCTGGGGAGCAGCTGGACACTGTGGCCCAGCTTGCTGTGAAACCAGTACAGAGTGACAAAGAACAGCTCCTAGGCCTTGGTCTGAGCCAACAGTCCTAAGAGCCCTAAAGAAATCCTGGTGTTTTTTCCTGAATCAGACCACTGTCCTTGGAAAATTTTCTTTTATAAACCTTTTATTTTATTTATGTGTATGTATTGTGTGTGTGTTTATGCCCAAAAAGGCCAGAAGAAGGCATCAAATCCCCGAGACCCCAAGTTATAGGCAGTTGTGAGCTGCCTGACATGGGTTCTGGGAGCTGAAATTGAGTCTTCGGGGGAATGGGAAGCATGAACTGCTGAGCCATCTCTCCAGCCTCATCCTCGGAAAACTTAAAAACTGGAGTAAGGGAACAGAGCCACGCACCACATGCCCACTGGGCCTTACACCGGTTCCCACCGACAGTTAGACATCATGACATTAAGCTATCTGACCTCGCCGTGGTTACCGACATGTGGGTCTCTCTGAAAGCAATCCCTGGGTGAATTGCCTTCTTGCAGTTTAACTTCTGACAGGGCAGGCGAAGGGAAAGCAAAATGCAGAGCTCAGTAGCCACAGTCGTCATCATAGAGGCTCATGTCTTGTCATTCTTGCCACTTTGATTTCTGTATGACTGCTTCAATTTAAGACTTTAGGCAACCTATAGTAAGTAATTCAATTTATAATTCAGATAAATCGCCTGGTAGTTCTTTGCACCAGTGAGAATCTTTGCACCAATGAGAATAATTATTTGCTTTGGAAACAAATTTATTGTAGAACTCCTCTTGGTAAGGTCAGTTTCTTTAGCACCCACGAAGGAGTTCAACTTGGAAAATTACATCTGCATGTGATTTGCTAGGCATGGATTTACTGAGAATGTAAGGCACACCCTTATTTTTTCTGCAGTTTGATTCTCTTCTCTCACCCTCAGTTTTCAAGCCTTTCACATTTTATCCCTGAGCTTTGCACATTATGGTTTATGTGTATTAATGCGCAGTGATGTCTACCGCTACTGAACATTCGCTTTTCTGTGCTAGCTCTTTCTCATCAGCACACATGCTTTTGTGTTTGCAGATCTCCTGAGAGCAGGCTTGCACCCACCACCCTTTCCACTGCTCCCCTGAGAGAAGCTGCACAGAGCAGCTGTTTCTCACCCAGTTCTCTAGGTTGCTGGTGGTATGAAAATAGAATGTGCATTGCCGTCTGTGGACTGAGACTGTTAGACCTGGTGAGATCTCCATAGGGGACTGTTGCACATGGCTGATTTTTCAAGCTGTGACCATGATGTCAACTGACTCACACAAACCCTGTGCACATATATGTGTATATGTGTGTATGTATATGTGTATGTAAATGTATATGTATGCATTCAATTTTCCAAAACCATAATGTGTTGACTCTTCTAGCTTACCATGGCCGACACTGTCTTTACAAATGAGTCTGAAGACTTTAACAGTACAAAGAGGTCCCGATAGTTGACATTTGCTAAACTCTGTCCAGGTGATAGAAAACTTCTGCTAAAGTATTGCCAGCACTCTTATTGTCATTAGGGATGGAAGGAGAAGCCACTGTACAGCTGTGAAGTGATCTCTCTTTCTTCAAAGAGAAAGGGAAGCTACCTCCACACACTTGCCTCCATGGCTACCATCTGCCACACTGTGCTCACAGGACAGCACATTGCCTTGTGGGACATTCAGAGAAGCTGTGTGAGAGTATACCAAAACACTCACTCTATTACAATGTTTTCGGTGTTGCGTCAGGGAGCCATGGCATCTAATGCAAATAACGGATTTGTCTCATAGGTTGAAGGGGACCAGCTGCCTCCAGGCCACACGGTCAGTCAATATGAGACCTGTAAGATCAGGACCATCAAAGCTGGCACTCTGGAGAAGCTCGTGGAGAACCTGCTGACGGCTTTCGGGGACAATGACTTTACTTATATCAGCATCTTCCTGTCGACGTACAGAGGCTTCGCCTCAACCAAGGAAGTGCTGGAGCTGCTGCTGGACAGGTAGGATGAGGGGCGAGAGCTGAACCCAGGTAGCTGAGGGGGCTCAGTATCAAGGGCACTTGGAAAGCTGGGAGGGAGGCTAGAGGAAAGATTTGCTGAAAAGGCCAACCTTTGAAATGCGGGCATGCAGGGAGTCAATGATATGGTCTGTTTCCAAGGTAAAGAAATCTCATTCAAAAAATCCATAAAGACTGAATATGGTGGTACATGCTTCTAATCGTGGTACTCGGGAAACCGAGCCAGCCTGGACCACATGGGAAGACTTTGTCTCAGAATCAAAAGAGAAAAACAGAAAAACCAAACAATATCTGAAACCTATAAAAAGAATCCAATAGAAGAGTTTAAAGTAGGTGTTATAAACATAGATTCAACTATTTATAAATTTTAATTTCTGCTGCTGTCCCCTAATTTCAAATTTAATATGGGCTAACTTTTATAATCTCTGTAATCTCCTTGTGAGTGTGCTTATACATGTGAAGTCCGGTGCTCTGTCCTAGATCTGGAGGAAGCAGACTGTCAGCAATCACCATGTAGTGGGTGTTTCATATGTCCCCATGTTGTTCAGGAGCATGTGTGCCTGAGCAACTCACGTATGGACAAATCTTACTGTTTCCCCCTTACTTTTGTCTTATTTATAGTAAAACTTAGACATTTTACAAATATATCGTTACGCTGACTTGATCCTGGGACATAGAAAACTGTCAGATAAACAATTATTTGAGAATCATGAGACTTCTCATTCAGATCCTTGTAGTCTGGGGTTCCCTGCCTAAGAAAGGAAGTGGGAGCCAGTGCTTTTGTAGACTTGTTATATATGTGGATTTGTATATGTACTGATATGTGTGTGTATTTAATTTTAAGATGTATGCAATCATATTGAAAATGTTTAAAAATATTCCTATATTATGAAAGGTATGAAAAGAAATATTAAAGTTTTCTCAAATTGCATTTTTCTCAAGTAATGCTTATTAGGTTTCAAAATATAAATATTAGTACAAAGAAAAACATTAAAGAAGCCACTGTATAATAGGCAAATAATACATTATTGACAATTAAAAATAAAAGTAATCCATATATATGATGAAAGTTCACACAATTTAGAAAATTGTAAAAGCAAAAAATGCAATTTCCTTTTCTCTTAGTTTCCTAGTCCCATTGTACCTTTTTGTATTCTTCCCAAAATTTCTAGGCATGTGTGTATACATCCTCAATATACAATATATCATACATATTGTCTCTATAGGCTCATTTATTTGTTAGAAATGTTTCTTGAGTACATTGTAAGAGGATGCTAGGCTGGACAGCAACAGCACTTTCTGCCTTATAGATTTATGGCACATAAATAATAGAAACTGAGTCAAGCAGAGAACACAATGTATCTTATAATTTTCATTTTTACATATTTATGCATTTTGGAAATATTTTTGTTTGTTCAGTGAATCAACATATATAAAAGACTGATAGTGGGTAGCACATTGAAAGTTCAAGAAATGCAAGTGATTATTTCAAATTAAGCACATACAGGTGGATTTTTCTAGCTTCTTTTTCGATGACTTTCTGGTACTTACTGAGTTGAGAATTTCATGGACAGAAGTAAGTACTTTTTAGTTTTAAAAATTTTTTTTTTTTAAGAATCTGTGAACATAATACCTCAAGGAATGTCCTCATACACATGCATATTTTCTGGATGTTTTTGAGACTCCTATAGGATATTTTTGTAGAAGACGGTTAGAAGCCTGCCAGACTGCCCTTCCGAGGGTTGCACCAGCCATTCTGCTCCTCCTCCAAGCATCCCACAGGCCACACACTCCCTGGCTGGTGATGCTCTGTCTCTTCAACTGAGCTAGCTTTTCTATGGTCTAATCACTGAAGAGTGATTTTGGGTGCCTGCCTCTTGTGTTTACAAGTAGAGTTTGCTATTTCAAAGGACACTTTCTGAACATTTGCTGTGTGTGAACTCTTTTCCTATCCTATGCTCTTTCCCTTTGAACCATTTTAACCTAATTATTAATCATCTAATTATAATTCTTTGTATATTAAATGAATTAGATTTTTGCTTATAACTGTGTTGTAAATATTATTCCTAATTTGTTCTTTGATTTTAAAGTCTGTTTATTAAATACTGGTATATTACTATTTTATATAATATTTCTGTCCATCTTCAGAAAGACTTTGAATAAACAACTTTCTATCCCAGGTTAGGGTTATTGACAAGAAAGAGTAAGTTTGTCCTCAAAACATTTGCTAGCTTTCTGTCACTATGACACATACCTAACGTAATCAACTTAGGAAGGGAAGAGTTTGGTTTTGGCTCAAAGTTTTGGAGGTTTCAGCGTGCGGTCGCTTGGCCTTGCTGCTTTTAGTCCTGTCGCGAGTCAGTGTATCATGGTGGGAGTCTGGAGTGGAGTGTAGCTGCTCACCTTGGACACAGACGACAGAGAAGGAAGGTTAAGGTTTTACCATCCCTTCTTAAAGGGGACTAAAGACTGCCAAGTAGGCACTGCCATGTGAAGGTTCCACCATCAAGCTGGCTGGTGGTGGCACACGCCTTTAATTTCAGCACTCGGGAGGCAGATGCAGGAGGGTCTCAGTGAGTTCGAGGCCAGCCTGGTCTACAGAGTGAGTTCCCAGGACAGGCAGGACTATACAGAGAAACCCTGTCTCAAAACAAACAAACAAACAAACACACAAACAAACAAACAAAGGGCTCTACCATCTTCCAGGAGCCCCACCCTGGGAATCAGGCTTTTAATACATAGACATTTGTGGGCACAAGATCCAACATCGGGTCAGTTTTTTGTGGGTACTTACACAGTTTTCACATGTATGTTTACATTCAGGGACACCCATGAAACATATATTCTTTATGGTATACTGATCTGGTCATGGTGTCACATGCTACAGTATAAGGAGCTGTGTCATTTTCTGTATGACAGTATTTGACAAAATATTAATCCTGGAATAACATAGGAGTTTGGTGAGTCATTTTAACTGAGGTTCTTATATAATAGTTCATATCTGTAAATAGAATTTGGAGAATTACATGAATTTCTCTTTTCAATACTCATAGCTGTAAAAAGACGGAGCCTGGTAATTGTTAGCAGGCACTATGCAGAAATGAAAATCTCTTACAAGTTCACTTTGAAACCGGTGACCTCTTCTCCATAGGAGGTAACTCCTCTGCTAATAGCCCACAGATGTACACAGTGCGTAAAGGCATACACGTAAGCTCCAGCTGTCCAGCTTAAAGACTGGACACATACACAGGAATTAGAGTGTTTAGTCTATGACTTTTATTTGATGACTTTTTAAATGTCTTTTCTTTGTTCTATGGATAGGCAAATTGGGATTTTCTTTTTTTTCCAAACACTAACTGGATAACAATGATCAAATAGTAGATCCAATAGGAGTCCAGGTTGTGCTGAATTCAAACTCTCAGTTGAAGTACAGCTAAAGGAAGAATTAAGATGTAGTCTGTACCATGTGCATGGGCTTAAGGCTGGCTTTGAGTGTGATCTCATAGTTCAATCGTTGCTTGTTTCTGAAATGAGGGGATTAAGTGCTGGATACCTGTGTAATGTAATACTCGGAAAGCTCTCTGCAGCTTAGATGGGACAGCGTAGATGGGACTTGGATGTAAGCGGTTTAGTTTCCGCCCTGAGGGGCTTCAGAGATGGAGTCCTGTGAAGCTTCTGGCACTTAAGTCCGGGGCCCCTCACTTGGCAGGAATCTCTCCATGATTCTGTGTTCTTAATTTTGTACTCCTTTTCCTAGGGAGGAACCCTCAAATGACAAAGAACAGTTCCACCAATTTTAGATCCACCCTTCAGGACTTAATATTTTCCTGCAAAAGATAAGGCTGCTGCACATGGGCTGAGGAAACCATCATTCAGAGCGCTATAAACAGAGTTCTAATATGTGCTGGTACAGGAGTTCAGAGAAATAAATCCCATTATTTTGCTTTCTCTGCAGAAATTTAACCTTGTCTGTGTGGGTGCCAACCTCAACAGGAATATTTCTTCCTGACTCTGTTTCTTACTCACACTGAAATCTCATGGCCATGTTCCAAGTCTCCACGGAAATCCAACTGTAGATTCTGTGAAATGCTACGCTCCTCAATTGGCTGTTAGGATTTTTAATGCCTGTAATGAAGAGGAAGCAATTTATTGTACAAACTCACCTATTCTGAAGATAATCGCTTGAAATTCCATTTTCATACCAGTCAGTTGGTGGACTCATTTGTTAGCCTCAGGTAGAGTTTTTAAGGCATTTCCTGTGCTGTGTGCCACGGGTCGGGAAGGAACACTGAAAGCTGATTGCAGCATGCGCTAATCCGGTAATCACCAGACAAGAACAGATTCGTGTTGCATTGTTTCTTTCCCACCAGAGCATGGCTTATTTGGAGTCAAGCTTTGATTTCTCTGAAGACTTCATTTGTGGCTTTTCATGTAGGGAACTGTTTATTTTCTGGGATTTCTTTCTAATCTTTTCATGGTTCTATTTTTTTCTCTTCTAATATGAGTCTGTGTGATTGATTAATAGACAGTAGTTTGAAGTCATGAATAGCTAATTCCATGTTTACATTATCCTCTGTTGGGGTGGCGGATGCCTCGCAGGGGCTCCTGTTTGCTGTGCCTCTTGCAATAGCCCGGACTTAACTCAGGGCTCACTTTGCTTCCTTTTAACCCAAGCGGAAGTTACTTAATTGGGGGTTGACCATGTTGGAACTTTGAGATTTCATTTTCTCTACACATCACTCAAAGCAGTCTGAACTCCCCACTCCCCTGTTTAAAGAAGCAGGGGACTGAACACCACAGAAAATGCCCAATGTCAGACGTTGGCAGAGGCCTGCTTCAGCGAGCAATTGTCAGTCAGAGTTGGGAATGTCCTACAGAGGTGTGGACTCTGCCGTTTTCTCAGTCAGTCCCACTTTCTCTGATAACTAAGTAGGAAAATGGCAACATCGTGTGGAACAGGGAGAGCCAGGTCTCCAGAAACCC